ATGGGATACAACCAAGAATGTGTACTATTCTGTTTTCATGTGCTAATCTCTGTACATTTTTGTTGTCTATTTGAATTATATAGCAAAGTCTAACTCTAATTTTTCTTTGTTGTTTTATTTCTAGTTGAGCATCTACTTGTGAGAGTAGGATATTGAAGACACTCACAATTATTGTCCTGAATTCTATGGGATCTTTTCTATTAAGAAGTATTTTGTGAAACTGGGTAAATCAATGTTGGGTATATGTGTATTTACAATGGTTGTCTCTTCCTAAATCACTCCCTTTGCCGATAGGCAGTGGTCTTCTTTGTCTCTACTGAATCACTTTTGTTTGAATTCTTCTATGGTGGATCTGAGCATAGCTCCTCTGGCTTGTTTTAGTCTTCAAGTGGACTGAAGTATCCTTTTTCATTTCAATCAGTCTCTTTTGGGGGCACATGTGATTCCTCCAGGCAACATATATTAGGATGTGTTTTGATCCAATATATCATTTTATGTCACTTACTGAAGCCATAAACACTTTCATTAATATTTTTAAGTAGTTTGTATTAATTTATCACATTTTGTTCTTTTTCTAGTGTTTGTTTCATATCTGGTATTTCTTTTTATCTGTTGCCACAATGAGATTAATTTTTTCCCTCAGTCTCATGATTGTGACTGCATTGTTTATTGGTTTTGAAAATTCCCTTAGAATTTTTGCAACAAATTTTATTCAGTATTTCTTTAGACTTATCTTCAAAGGTCTTTATTTTTCCTTCAATTTGATTAGGTATAGCAGTGTAAATTTGTAATTATTTTCTTCAGGGATTGAAGTACATCATTTCAAGCCATTCTGGCTTTTAGATTTTCAGTTAAAAAAATTGTTTTTGCCTTTGATTTAATGTTTCTGAGGGATTTAGCATTTCTTTGCACCTGCGTTTAAGCTTCTATGTCTAAAATTTTGGCAATTTGAGTATGATATGCTATGGGAACTTTTTTTGTTTTGGTCATGTTTATTTGCCTCTGTTCCCTAGTAGAAGTTTCTCCTACAATTGCAGTGAATAGGTTTCATATGCCATTGGCCTGTACTCTATCATGCTACTTGAGTCTTCATTTTATTCTTTCAGATTTTCAAATGTTTCTCAAATAATCTTCTCATTATTTCTTTTTTTCTCTCTCATTGGGTCATTGTTAAAGCAAATCCACATTATCATTTAATTCTGATATTCTTTCCTGTAAATAATTTTAATTATTTTTGAGAATTTCAAGTGAATTTTTCATTTGACTTCTAAAAAATCAGCTTCTAGGATATCTTAATTTTTTTCCAGAATTTCTATTTTTCATAATGCACTCTATCATACATTGTACCATGTTTTCTTCCTTGGTTTATTCAGTTCTCTATTGTATCTTCTAAGATCTCATAAAATATTAAAGTATTTCATTAATTTCACTTCTTATTTGCAACATCTTTCTATCATTGGTCATTTTCACTATCACTTTTAAAAATTATTTGAAATTTCTTCCACTGCAATATCATTGGGATCAATTTTGGGGAGGAAATTATGAATTTGGGAAACATA